CTCCATCACGGCACATACAGCCTCTCCATCACGGCACATACAGCCTCTCCATCACGGCACATACAGCCTCTCCATCACGGCACATACACATATCCCTCCATTTCTCTCTTGAACTGTCATTCATACCCTTATTTATTTCCTTAAGTCTGTTTTCATCTCTCCATCTCTTTTCCTCCTCACAGCCTCCTCTCCCCGGAAAAATGGATTCCACTCTACTCCTTATTTATGTTTACAGAAATATTTATGAGATGATTTACTATGTTTCCTCATTTAAACAGCTAGACATTTCACATAATTCACAAACTCAGCTTAGAGTGAAGCTCTAAACCATTGATAATACAGGCAACTTTAACTACTACACCACCTGCTGTGAGCAACTTGCACTTCAATCAGAAACACATCACGCACGTTCTTTGAGAGTGTCACCTGACTTTGGAGAGAAAGTCAACAGGAAGCCCCCCTCCTCCCTCGATCTACTCAGTCCAAAAAAAGCGAGCGTGTGGGTGTGAGTAAGCACAAGCGTGTGGGTGTGAGTAAGCACAAGCGTGTGGGTGTGAGTAAGCACAAGCGTGTGGGTGTGAGTAAGCACAAGCGTGGGCGAGCACACACTGCTGGAGAGGGTTACAGATGACGGCGAGGGAGAGCCCGGCATGTAGTGACTCTATCCTTAACGACGATAATTCATTATACTTACAGATAGAGGGGCGACTGGGGTCAGAATGACCGAACGTGACTGGACGGGCCGATTCAAATTCGGACTCACTCGTGTCCCATCCTGCTCCTCCCTCTTTCTCAGTAAAGAACCCCCCCCCCCCCCGCATTACGCTAACTTAGCAGACGCTTTTATCCAAAGCAATGTATATTTTTGAGAAAGCAGGGACAGACAGTCCCTGGAGCAACAGGGGCTTAAGGGTCCTACTCTAGAACCAAACAGTAACATCGCTCTGCTCATCCGGGGATTTGAACTGGCAACCACCTGATCACAGGCACTGTGTCCTACCTCACTGAGGCACACACCGGCCCACTCCTGCCAACATAACCTCTCAAAACTCTTGCCTGTTTTCCTTCCTCTGCCCCTCCCCCCCCACCCCTGTTAAGGCCCCCATTAATTTGATTAATTCGCCCCCTCTATCAGTGGAAACGCTCTCCCACATCCCCACCCTGAGCCACAAGTGAACACGGCAGAGGTCTCCGTGTTCCCGGATGACATGACATTCCTGGCGATCCGTGTCCGTGTAGGGGTTGGCGTTCCCCCACTGCCGTGGTAACGGTGCCACTGACGTGACACATGTACTCCACAAATCCCCATCGCCGCCCCCTGGTGCCTGACTGTGGCGTCTGTGTCTCCCGACAAAAACCAGCATCGATTGCTGCCTGTCAGCTGAGACCCCAGCGGGGTCTGCATTCTTACCGCGCCTCTGAGGAAGCAACCAAGCAGTGTGAAAGAGAACAGGGAGGGAGGAGGGATAAGGGACCTGCAAACGAGAGGGGGTTTGTTGGGACCAGCCACCGGGCACCAGCCGCCCCGGAAACAGTCCCTGAGCACCGCTGCCTTCCGTCCCAGGACTCCTATATCTCCTGCTGCTTTTGGCTTAAGTGTTTCAGGATGATCTCCAACGGCCTGGCCTTCAGGGAATGACCCCCCCCCCCAGCTCACACACACAGAGACACACGCACAGACAAGTGCAGACACATTCATACACACATACACACACACACACACTCATAAACAGACAAGCACACAGACGTCTTCTCTGCATTCCCGGTCGGGTCCCACCCCCAACTCGCATCTCCTCGTTCCCCCCGTCTCCCAGTTCCATCTCTCTTTTATTCCCCCGACTGTTTAATATGGTTCCATAGCCCCTGTCTGCCGACACCATGAAACACGCCTATGTTCCGTAAACCGCGTGAGCCCGACGCCGGCAGCTAATCGGACGCCTGTTTCCCGCTGCGTTAATTACCGCGGCACTCATATCCGCCGCCGTCACCCCAGCCGGCGCCCAGTTTACGTGCCCCCCCCCTCAGGCCTCAGGTTTGCATATTTCTGGAACATTGTCTCATTTCGAGGATCCCCTGAAGCGCGGCTGAGGAAGCCCCCCCTGGCCACCCACCTGCCACCTGGTGGTGTATTTACTTATTGTGACTGCCCTACACATCGCTGTGCACATCCAGCGGTGCAGACCGCCACCGCAGGCCCAGGGGGCTCACGCATGCCGTGTTTTGAAGGGAAGAACTATGAGAAATACAGTGAGATTTGGGAGAAAATAAGAATGGTATAAAAATACGACTACAACTTGTTTTTATTTTATTGAAATATAGTGCAGGACAGTCTCCGCAAGAAGGCGTCTATGTTCACACCACAGCAGGTTCCTCTGCACCGCGGTCAACAGGCCCCCAAAGCCTTTAATGTCAACAGGGGAGTAGAAACCGGATATTTAATTTGGCTTCATTCATCCCCACTATAAACAGGCCTTAGTATTTAAATGGCTCCTATGCCATCAAATGTGAAACCCGAATGTGTGTTCAGAAAGGGCCCCCAACACAAAACCCCCCATTAAGGAGCGGGTGGCTTCCCATATGCCGGCATCTTCTGCTCCGGTTCGCCGAGCCCCAAGGGCCATCTGACATGTTCATATTTTTAAAAATCGACAGAGGAAAAGGTCAGTAGGGATGGACTCCACCCGGGCTGAGGATCTGGGAATGCGGGGCTCTCTGCCGCAGTCACGCAGCAGCCCAGGATGAAGGGGGCCACACACTCTCGCCTAGGCCCCCGGCCACCTGTCGGTTCGGTGTTGGGGGGGCGGGCTGCCATCACACACAGGGCTCGCGAGATCCAGGGATAGGCTGTGACATTTCTAAAATCCAGAAAGTCTCTGAGCACAAGTGACAGCAGAAGATGTTCCCCACAAATGAAGTGCAGTGCAGTGAACTATTTCAGGTGGGGTCCGCGAGCTGACAGCCAGGCCTGTTTATGGAGGGAAACGGTATAACAAGCACAAAGGAACAGAGAAATTAATGGGCCGGAGAATCCTGCATGTCTGACTTGGCAAAGAAAAAAAACAAGATTTCAATTTTCATAAAATTTCAGTGATTTCCGAGACACAAGGGAATCATGGGTAACTAGGGTGGAGTGACCCTGAATATCTGATCATTGTGGGGCGGGGGTGTCCGACGGGGTCCGGAAGTGGAAGGGACCTGTGGGGTCGCTGTGGGGTCACGCCTAGGTACTAAAGATCCTGATTGGGATGGTTATAGTTAAGAGACACGAGCTCACCGCGAACGGGCCGCTCCAGGCGCCCGAGCAAAGGCATGATGACGGAATTCCACGCGCCGTGGCTCCAAAAAAGCTGGAGGTCTTCCCGGGCCGCAGAGTCTGCCAGCTATAAACAGGAGCGGTTTTCCGTCTAACTGCGCTGGCGCGGAAAACACGGAACGGGACGCCGCCGCCCGCACCCCCGGCGAGAGCAGGCACTGCATACGGTGCCCAGGCAGGCCGCACGCCCACGAGGGGCTCCCCGGGGGCCGTCTGATACGCCAGACTCTCTGCTGAGTCACAGGGTAGTGCGTTACGTGGGGAATCCCCCCAGAGGGAAACAGGGGGGCCCGGAATGGTGCGGGCAGGTGAGGTCACAGAGCCAGGCTACCACCTGCACCACCGCCTGTGATGCCCCATCCCTTTCACGCCGCCTCACGTCCTCCAAGACGACCGAGGCTCGTCCGAGGTTCTGCCGTGGGCTGGGAGGGAGGCCAACGACCCGGATAGTTCTAGGAGCTGTTAGCTAATCGCTGTGCCTGTTTCCACGTTCAGGGCAGGGGCCAGACTGGAGTCAGTGGGGTCTATTTAAGCAGTAAACGGGCTTCTTTGCCAGAATGCCGGGGGCGACCCCAAAAGCGGGTCCCGCTCCTCATCGATCACTGGCTGTCAGGCCCAGCGGGGGCCAGCAGCCGGGGCCCAAAGGCACCAACACAAAGCGGCTTGTGTCCGTGGGCGGGGTGAGAAAAGGGGCCCCCACTCAGCCTGTGGCCCCTTCTCGCAGAGGCAGGGCGGAGTAAGGGAACGAGGGAAAGGAACAGAGACGAGCAGGAAAGCAGATGCTCCACTATGAGCACTGACACACTGAATCCCGGCCTCCGATTGGTAGGTGCTGCTGTGATGTCACGAGGGACTCACCAAATCCGAAGGCGGCAGGAGCAGGGATGGGACCCGATTGGACGGTGGCCGACGTATAGAGCCCTGTGACCAGCAGGCCGTCGAAGAATGTGCTGGTGGAGATTGTCACTGGAAAAGAAGGGATAAAAGAGGTTGGGTCAGAGATGCAGCAAACGCCAGAGTCCAGTCCATCATTTCACATGCAGGGGACTTGTCCCCTGGGTCACTGATCAATGCTTTTCGTTTTTTTTTTTGGCAAGCAGGCCCTCACACAGACAGCCAGCATCTCCTGGATGTTATTAGAGCCCCCGAAGAGGAGGAAGAGCAACAGAGACGAGACAAAGCACCTCCCAGAAGGTACACACAGACAGTGTAATGGCTGTCTGCCTCTCAGCAAAGGCCCTTATTATGACAAGGTGCCTCTACAGCGATGAAAATCCCAGGGGAGGGATGTTAACAAGGACTGGCATTAAAGGAGGGTGTGGGGGGGGCAGCCCTAACCCTGGGATATGTCAAACAGAATCAGCGAACGGCAGACAGCTAGTCAATGTGAGGAGGTGTGCAGCAAGGCATTATGGGAAAAGCAGCAGGTCCCCAGTAAGCGATTAAAAACCTCAGAATCCCGTCGAACCCCATGGAGGAAGACCTCAGGAATCCAGGGAGGGGAAAAAAATCAAGGGAAACGGGGAATTGGGGAGCCACAGGTGAGGCTGGACCGGAGCGTTATTGACGGACCACTTTGGAAGGGACTGGAGAAATCTCTCCATGTTTAACAGGATGTGGGGGCTATGAGGGAGGGGCTCCCACGAGGAAGCTAATTAATTCAGAAGAAAACACCTTGTGGACTA